GTCACATGAAGTCGTTCAGAAATATTCACCTCAAGGGATCAACTGGCAGTTTATTCCCCCCAGTGCCCCTCATATGGGTGGTTTGTGGGAATCCGCGGTTAAAAGTTTTAAACTCCATCTCAAAAAAACCGCTGGAGCCCACAAATTTACCTTCGAAGAGTTTACTACTCTCCTAATTAGAATAGAAGCCGTTTTAAATACCAGGCCAATCTCATCCCTCTCCCAAGATCCTGGCCACTTTCAACGTGGCACCTCACTCTTATCGCTTCCAGAAGTGAACCACCAAGATCTATCGTTAGTTAACAGGTGGGAAAAGGTGAAGGTCTTGCATCACGAATTCAGTCGCCGTTGGAAGGAAGACTATCTCACAGATCTCCAAAAAAGGTATAAATGGAAAAATACACAAGTTGAGCCGATCGTGGATCAATGTGTCCTCATAAAGGACGATAATCTACCCCCCACTGAATGGCGCCTTGGCCGTATAGTAAAAACACATCACGGCAAAGACGGTCATATTAGGGTAGTCGACGTGCGCACCCAAAACGGCACTCTAACACGACCCATTGTTAAATTGTGTCTCCTACCCGCAAACGACCTACCCAGACCTGTAGAAGCCTAGACCTTCTAAAACCTTCGCTCAAGCCAACTCTTCTTTGTTGACTCGACTGCCGCACTGTTAACTTCTCCCGCCTATCTCCGCTGTAAGCACCCTCCCTTGATTAATGAGTGCATAATCATTATACGAATATATATGCCCCAATTTCATATGCTTCACAGCCAAGTACCTTAGGAAAAATCGTTCACTAATCGCCGCCATTCGACCACCTATATTTGCAGATAGAGATGGAGACCGACACCGGCAGTAGTCCGAAACAAACACCGAAGCCAGCACCTAGACCAGCACCTAGACCCGCACCCACGCCTGCTCCTCAACCAGCACCTCGCCACACGCGGCTGTCGACAGTGGTGCCACCGCCTGACCCGGCCACCGAACCGCAGCCAAAGAGGGATGACTTCCAGCGATGCCGATTATGTGCTCGCTACCATGCACTGCGTGCTTGTCGAGTCTTTAGGGCAATGCAGCCTGGGCAGCGATACCTTGTCGCATGGGCACATGGCTTTTGCACTAATTGCCTTGCATTGTCCCACCAACGCAAGGAGTGTTCGTCAGCCGCAGCCTGTAGAGTGTGTGGACAGCTACACCACACACTCGTCCATCGAAGCTCGATTCGCTCCAAACCGCCAAAGCAGCGCCCAGTAGGCAACCATCGCACGGAACCACCAAAGCAACGCCACGGAGGCAGAAAGCGCATGCCACCACCGAAGCAGCGCCGTCCAACCAGTAGTCGCAAGAAGTCACCACAGTCGACCACACAAGCAATTAATGGTAAAACTACCAAATTCTTGGTACAAAACCCGATCCGTACGCTGAAGGAGGTTCAGAGCAGCCTAGCCGCTTAGTGCGCCTAGAGGGGGCAGGATGTCCAAGCGAGGCCGCCGTGATTAGCATTTAGATTTGTAAAAATTGCTTAACTTGTAAAAAAAAACATATAACTTATATTATATTATTATTCATTCAAATGAAATATCGTAAATGAAGTATGAAATGTTAATTAGTATCACATGGCAACATCGGTGTCAGCACAATTCAGCACTTTGACATAAGTTTACAGACTCAACGCTGTAGGTATACGTATGTATGCAGATACAAAAAAACATACAATTTTTCTTCATAAAATCAATCCTCTTTTCGTGATCTCACCGGTTTCTGCTTGTTTTTGCGGTTCACCGACTGTGCCATATATATATACATATCATTCGCAAAGGTTCCAAATTGCTCGTGGATTTTAAATACGCTAAATAAATTGTACGTTACCAAAATTGAATTTTTGGCGTGTTATCCTTTGCAAGAAGCAAATCGTAGTTATCACCAAATCTTGTACGTGCGCTAATAGTCTCATCGACAAACTTTCGGTAAAATACTTTCGCGAGTGCGACCTAGAACCCCGCCGAATTCCTCGCCGCCAGTCGGTCAACTGCCCAGCGCTACAAGTCGCTTTCCACACCGAGCTGAAGCACCCTAACATACAGGCCAGTCCACCGGCTGCTCGCAACCACCCACCGATCATCCAGTTGCCTCCTCGATCGAAAATCCACCAGCCGCCTGCCAGTCAACCGATCGTCCAGCCACCAACGCATCCACCAACAGCCTGCGAGTTCATTAGCCGCATCCATCCGACCAGCCATACTGCTAGCATCTCCAGCCACCGGCGCTTCCACCAAGTGTAACCCCCATAGCTACAGCCCAGACGGCTGTAAACAATAATTTTGTATATTGTACGAAGGCATTCCTAATATTTACGTGTGGTTTTAAAATATACGAAATCTACAATTCAGTATTCGTTTTATTTATTAAATACTTTGGTACATAGTACTGATGCAGATACATGTTTTTTAAATTCGCACAATATATGTACGAATATTTTCGTGCAATATACTACACATTCGTTCTTATTTATTTTCTTTCATTAAAATAAATAATTTTTTTTAGATTGAGCCTGATTTCGTCTTCTTATTCGGAACCAGAAATGAGGTCTTTGATAACGTCATTGTTTTTTGCAATTTACTTTTGGATAGCAGTGCTTTTTTTATGTTGGTCGGAAACTGAACTCGAACCTAGGCTATGCGGAATGGTAGCGCGCACTGCTAACCACTGCACCACAGCGGCTTCCAATCGGAATACACATTAAAAATAATTAATATTAATTTTAGTGTAAAAGAGAATCAACAGTGTTTTTATTTGGTAACACAAATTCACCATAAAACTATGGGCGGATGAATAGCGAATTTATCTGCTAATACCCGTATTTTTCAATTAAATTTCAGTTGTCCTATACAAATTTTTGGATATTATAAACAAGTTGGAAAATATTTCATTTCTTATTTACAGATGGAAAGTATACGCATGCTATATATAAAAATATATAAAATATATATAAAAGCCATACCGCAAATAATAACACAACACTTTATTTATTTTTTTTTTGATCATTAATGTTAAGCATTTTTGCAAAACATTAACGCTTAAAATTTACGATAAAAATATAATAAAGGTGGTGTGTTATAACTCGTACTATCTTTTTTACGAAAATAATTTCGTTAAATATACGAATTATTTTCGTGCATTTTACAAAACTTTCGTAAAAACGAACAAATAAATAATACGAAATTCTTTAGTAAATAGTACGAACGTATTCGTAAAATATAGTAAAGATCTGATGTCTCATATTTTCGTAGAATGTACGAAAACGGTTTTGTACAATTAACGAAAACTTTCGTGGCTCAAAATGACGAAAAATTTCGAAATATGTACGCAAGTTTTCGTTATATTTACGCAGATTTTATTTTCAGTACATGAAAAACAGCTTCACATAAAAATACAATCTCCGTTCGGAGTAGGCGTAAAACTGTAGCTACGCTACGAAAAACCAAAAATCCAAATGCTGCCACCCTTGCGGAAACATGTGCAGCATTGCCAGCTATCAGTTGTTTTTCGAAGATAGCTGAATGAAGGAAAACAAACTGGAAAGGAATTAAAAAACACTCATCATGTGCTTCTTTATTGTAAATTGGTTAATTTTACATATTTCGAGGAAAATTATGGATTCTGATATATTTGCAATTATAGCAGCAGAGTAAGCGGGCACTATGCCAACGGATTCACAAAGGTATGCGGAGCTGTCGGGCATAGTAACCATGGGCGCATCTATGCCAGCTTCTGGTTGAATTGTTGAACCACAAGCCAGAACTCCTCCTATCCCTGAAGCTCTTGTTCTCCAAGCCATTGAAAACATGCACTTTGTTAGGTCCACCACCTGTTACGCTTGCTTCTGCCTTCGGCAGCGCTTAGGGATTATAACCCTTACTAAGTAGAATTATCCTTTCTGTGTTGCGGGGAAGAGGGGCTTCCGCGTGTCAAAGGTATACAACATTTCTTGAGCATATCACTCCGGCTACGCCGTCCACAGTATTTTTGCGCAGAACCCACGTCGAAATTTACAAAAAAGTGCATAGTGCAAACCTAGTTTATTAATAAGCTAGTGGTAGGAAATTTGAAACATTTATCTTAAATAAAATGTGAATCCTTTGATTACACGTGTATGTTAACACAACAAACGAAAATCGTTGTACATTAACTAAACCGGACCCAAGTTTCTCGATAAGGGGCAACAAATATTCTTTTTTGCTCGTTTATATAAAGCAGTGGATAAAAATATACGTATATGCGAAAGGAAAATTTATCTGTTTAAATGAACACTACCAATATTTCTTGCAAACATCGATTTACATCTCTTATTTCGCCTCTGACACAGACTTGTTTTCGTACAAAATTACGCAAAAAAGCTTACTCGTTCGTTTTTAGGTATGCCATTGTACGAATTTCAAAAATTTGAAAATGCGATTCGGATTGCAGAATACTATTTCTACGATTCGTAGCAAAATCCGAATACGAAAGAGTTGCAGAATAGGGGTGTTTATTTAAATGTGCGAAACAAGTGGCAACACTGTTGCTTGCTCCTTGAAATTGTTGTTGTATTTGTTTGTTTGTTTACATTTTGTGCTGAATAGCTAATTGTTGTTTGGTATAAACATAGGGTCGCACATCTCATATTTAAATAGGCAATATTGGCAATTTTTAAGTGCAGATTAAATATGTGACCTGAAAATTAATTTTTGAGGTTAATAAACAATCTCTACTTAAATAGCTCATCTGAAATTGGGCCCTAGGATTTACTCATATCACATATTTTGGGCCGGTTACTCTATGTCTGGTTAACACTAACTACAGGTTTAACATCGTTATCGACGTAAGCGACCCCAAAACATATAACAGGGAGTCGATAAAGATGTATAACTTGTAGTTAGTGTTAACCAGACATTGAGCAACCGGGCCTTAGAGTACAATCATTATTTTCTATGTCGACAAAATATTCACTTACATTCAGCTCGCTTCCTTGAATATTTGGAGGAGTATCCAGATAAATAGTCTTCCATTTTGTTAATGTTTTGGTCTGTTACTTCAAGCTCTGCGCCTAATTCCTTGGTTTCCTGATTGATATCTTCAATTTGGTCTTGGGATTGGTTTTCAGGTAATGGAACTTCCACGATCTCGTAGATGGGTCTTTTATTTTTTAGTGGGGGAGTAAATATGTGTAAAAAATCACGGGCTTTAGCTTTTTTAACTGTATCTTCAGCATATTTAGTAGAATCACTGGATTTTATTACTGCACTTTTAATGTATCGTAACTTTTGTTTAGCGGTATGAATAGAGGTATCAAAGCATTGCGAATCATAAATGCCTTTAAGAAAGTTTTCAGATTTCTGCTCTAAGCTTTCATTATGAAGTATTAGCTTTTTTATGGATTGCGGTAAAGGAGGAGGCGATGGTGGCCGAGTTTTAACAATTAGTATTTCAATAGTAGTTTCATATGATATGCGTGGAAGCGGTTGAAAGAAGCCAGGCATGCGATGAACATTCGGCGGTAAAGGCGGAGGGGGGTCTGAAGTTCCTCCACCTTCATATGGTGTGCTAATTAGGTTTGTTAAAGAATTAGACCATTGCTGAAGAGAAGCACTACCTTTAATGTTAGTAACATTTCTATTTTGCCTGGAACTGTTATTATCATCTGCTGCTGCCGTTACATTATATGTTAATTTGGACGATTCTTTATAAAAAGGAATATCATTGAGAGTAATTGTTCTATTTGTATCTACAATTTTTGGTGTCTCACTAATTTTTATCAATGGAAATGGTTTAAATGAACAGTCAGTGGATGAGGTATTTACTATTTCGCTGTCCTTACCAACGGAATCTTGTTTTTTGTCAGAACTTAAATTGTTTTCAGTTGAGTAGGTAGTAATTTTGGCCAAGTCAACACTTTTTTTAATAGAATTGAATTCTTTTGTAGATTCATCTGTATTCTTTTGATTTAGGTTTTCGCTTTCCACAATTGTCGTTTGATCATGCGAAATATTTAAATAATCCTTCCTCTCAGTGGCCGAAGCTGAATCCTTTTCTTCAGTTATATCTGGGCAGGCTACTTTCTTTTCAACTAAAACGTTTTCAGAGTTACAAATCGATTGGATGTTTTCTTCCAATGTTTTTCTTTCTTCAAGTAGTTCACCTTTGATCTTAAGTGCTAATTTATTTTCTTCGTAGTATTTTGCCTTCTCCTCCTCACTTAAATAGTAATCTTGAGCTACGTCTGAGGCTTTTATTCCAGAGTAGGGATTATGGGCTACAGCTTTCTGTGGCAAGTGAAAAAGCAATTCATTTTCCTGAAGTACTTGACTTGTATCCACACGTAAATCGTCTGCCAAATGTTCCTGCAATGTCGAGTCATCATCCCTGTGCGAAACTATTTCTTGAAACCATTTGTCTCGAATTTCTTTTCTGTGTGGTTTTAATTCAAGCGGTAAAAATATTTGACTTTTCCCTTGCTTTTCTGTTATGTGCAACAGATTTTCTACGGAATTATTTTCAATATTGCAATCAGGTAGCTTTATAATGTTTTGCAAAAGAAAAATTGATCGTTCCTCATTTATTTTTCTTACTTTAGTTATTAAAATCCTTGATTTAAATAGAAATAAATACCGTTCGTGTAACTTTTGAGCAGATTCTTTAACAGTCCACCAGTCGTGGTTTAGTAAACGTCCAATTTTATATATATTTCCTCTATATCCTTCTATACTAGATAAAAATTTATTATGAAATGCTCTATTGGGAACGCTAAGCATTAACTCCAAAGCCTTTTGTAAGTCTTTAGTATTGTCAGACACATTTTGTGAGTATTTTATTAATTCCTGAAATAAGAAAAATTAAACTCAAAAAACTATTAATTTCGTACCACAGAATGTGTTTGTAATTAATAGATGAAGAGCTGGAAGGGTTATGTCTGCTTTGTTCTTTAAAAGTAACTATGATTAAAAGAAATTAAGATAAGTTATGTAAAATGGTGTTCTGAAATAAAAATTATATTCAGTTTTAATAGCAAACAGTGTTTAAACTTCGCAGCATTTATACACAAAATATTACACAACAAAGAAGTAATGTTAAACTATCCGCTGCAATTTTTAAAAAATTCAGGTTATCGACGTCACGATATGGAATATTACTGATGATTCGGCGAGAATAAAAAATTTTATATACATATGCGCTTGTGTTAATGAAATCTTTCTAGAAATTTTTTGTGAAAAATTTTGTATGATGCGTTTTTCCAATAACTGATCAATATAATCCTTAGAATCAATAGAATTTATAGAATGCTTAAAAAATCGAGAATGCGAAACGAATGGATTTGGTCGCCATTTTATAAATACGTATGTATTTTGGTGTCCAGCTGAATAGCTTTTTAGCTAGCTGGGCACATCGGCTGATATTTCAGCGGTAGTAATAATCACTAGACCGAATAAAAAAAATTGTGAAAAAAATTGGAAAAATTACCGCAAAACTAAATTAAAGCTTCACATTCTCAAACAAATAAATCTATTTTAAATAAACTTTGTCATATGAAATATGGATTGTGGTGGGGTAATAGCTATGGCTTTTACCCCATCATAGTAAAAATCCACCAGAAAGCGGATCAGCACGGGGAGGAGATGGGCAACGCCTCCAGTGGACACGCTCCTTCAGACATTCTTCCCGACGATGAGGCCAACAAAACAGGCAACGCATCGAGCGGACCTGGGGCTCCGAGTTGACACCGGTGAATGATAACGCGGAGTCCACAGAAAACACCGAGAGTGGACCTGTGGATCCACTAACGAGTGTATCCGATATTAAGACAGATAAAGAGAGTGAAACGTGCTTAGTATCTGCCTACGTAGGGTCAGTCTACAGTCGGTTGGCAACACTGGACGGAGACCAGAAGCTGGGGGAGAAGCAAAATGACACCACTGCTACCGCTGAACGGAGGGAGCTATGAAGAAGCAATGGATATCATCGACCATGAGGATGGGGCAGATCCTACAAATTAATCTGCACCACTCCAAGGCAGCCTCGGCTGAGGACGTGGTTCTAGGTTAAGAGCCATGGATCGTCAGAAACAAGGTTTGTGGACTGAACTCTGTTGTCTACCACGTTGTACCAGCTCGAGGAGCAGGTAGAATCAGAGCATGCAATCTTATTCCAAAAGTATATTATTTCTGCAGGAAGTTGTGAAGGATGTAAACCGAAAAAAACTCCCGGTTATAATTGGTCCGCCACTATTCTCTTCGCACGATTTGGGGCTTAAGCGACTCCAACTCCCGAGGTGAGTGTTTATTCTTTTATATAATATTACTGTATGTAACCGTGGGAACGACCCCACCTTTGTGACCTCTGTTAGAATAAAAATGCTGAATATCCCCCTCGTCCGAGTTGTTTTACTGACCGGATAACGGATTGGAAGGTGTCCAAAGAGCACTCATTTTCTGACCACTTCTACATTACTTTTAAGCCCACCTTTGATCCTGCTCCTTTAACATCATACAGGAACCAGAAACGAACCGACTGAGTAAAAGACGCTGTCGTCCTCTCTACGTCGATACGCTTTTCAAGGTAAGTCCTGCTTATCGGTAAGGCCTGTTGAAGCTAGTCTCTCGAACACGAAGGTTATTTCTCTCGGTGAGCTGGACTTATCGTCAAAAATTTATGAAACATTGAACTTTGTGACTAGTGCCTGTAATGCTGCATTCAGTGCCTTCTGCTCAATCACCCTCCCGAATTGCAAAAAGAGACCTCAGTGGTGGAATTCTGAAACTCAGCACTGAGGAAAATCAGCAGGAGGCTCTGCCGTCTGGACATTATCAAATAACGAAATACTGGATATCCTTGTAAGCACTCACTTTCCAGGCTGCCCTGATGACACCACCGGCACTTCGCTCGGTCCTAGGACTAGGGTAGCCAGATATTTTAGTAACATAATCAGTACAGTTGGGATCAAAAATCAGTACAAAGCAAAAAAAAATCAGCTCATTTTAAGCGTCTTTTTCGCATTAAGTTAACATATAACAGTCCATTAGTTTAAAACCAAATAAGGTGACAGGTAACAAGATCAATGGAAATAAGGTCAATTGACTTTATTTCCCACCCTGGTGCGAAATAAAGTCAATTGACATTATTACCTTTTCAAAAGCGAAATAAAGTCAACAAAAATTTGGAAATAAAGTCATTGACGCTATTTCCTCATTCAAATGGAAATAGCGTCAACAATGCTTAAAGTATGTCGATTCATAGAAAAAAATTTTGTTCTTACAATAAACATTGCCCGTAAGTGTTGTTTTTTAATAGATGACAAAGGTTACTGCCAAATCCTCAGTGTGATGATATTAATCCAGACCAGAGCTGTGTAATGGTTGAATCAATTGAGTGTGCATTCTCATTTTATCGTTTCAAAAATGTGATTGTTTGATTTAAAAAATTTAACAACCACTCTTGAGATTGGTTACAAATTGTAAACACAAAGTATGTAGTGTGTTATGGAATGGTTGACACCCATTCACATAGAGAATGTGAATGCAAAAAAAAACTCAATCATGTATGATTGTACGTTTATGGGAAAGCAATCTGTCATTATCATTCAGTACTAATACTATTTGTTGTATCAGGGTTGAGATTTTTGTACTCAAAATGTAAAACCAGAAGATCGCCATCTCCCTTAAAATAAGTAAAAAAATAAACATTTGGTTCTAAAATATTTTTCTAAATGTTTGGCCGAGCTTCTGCTCAACCTTGAGGCATGAGTTCTGTTGTTGTGGCACAAATGCTATTTTGGGTTATGATCTGACCAGGTATTTAACCATGGTCCTATGGAGTGGAAGTACGCACATGTAATCACTCTGCTACGGCGGCCGCCGTAAGTACATGCTATACATATACAAAACCGCGTAGTTGCATAAATTACTTTCTAGAGAGTAAAATCACCCATATTTCAAAATGGTTATCTTTTTTATAAAGCAAGCGTATTTCTGGCTAGTATATTTCAGCAAATCCAATTTTTGGCAACAAATGTCAGTTACGAGGTTCTGCAGAATGACGATACGCGGTTTTGCACTTTAAACGACGATATGTAAGTATACATGTTATATTATTTGTTCTCAAAACGCATGAAAACTATAAGTAGTATGCTTGCAAACAATTAATAACATTTTGTGATAAACAGTTTCACAAATGTATTTGCACTTCAAATTTATGTTTTAATAAAGTATTAATTAAATAAAGTATTATTGTAAATTTTTATTTTAATAACTAGATCTAAAGATATTTACACTTAGCAACTCTTGGACTTTTCTTCATTGACAAATGACAGATGTAAACAAAATAAAAAAATAATCGTATTTTTACAAATTTAAAGCAAACGGGCGTTCTTTACAAAAAAATTTAGTTGGGGATCGAATTGCGCATATTTTTTCCAATGCCAAGTGCCTCCAAGAAGTGTTAAACCACTAAATAGCTTAAAAAACGCTTTCAAAAATTCGAAACGAGGGTGAAGTGCAGTCTTCAATTGTGATCGAAATTGTAGGCAAAATTTGAAGAAATGTTGCCCCTCGTTATTAAAAATAAGCAAACCAAGACCCCCGCTTCCCACTGGTGGTTACATAATACTTGAACAGCCCCTTAATTAACACGTGCTTGTTTTGTTCACGCACGGCCAGTTAAACAGGCATGTCTGAATCGATTTCCTTCATCATTCTTAGCAATTTGATGTGCATTTTTATTGTTATGTGTTGCAAACAGACATTTTAGGAACTAAATAGGTTCTAAAATCTTATTTTTAACAGTTTCCAGTTTATGTAATATTAATCAAAACAGCTTTTATTATTTTATGTATTATGTGATTTCTGGAAGCATCGAATACAAAAAAGGGCTGTGACTGGGTTTATGTAATTTGAAATTGTATTGATGATTACCAATAATAATAGAAAGGCGCTTACATATCGATGGTCCTCTGCAATAACGACACAACTCAAAATTTCATATATTTCAGTATAGCCAATGAAAGATTTTTTGTTTCGTAATTTAGCAATAATATGTCTTGGAACATAATTATTCCGGATTATTTGCAGTCATACTGTAAGCTTTCAAATTATGTCTTTTTCTAAAGCTGAAATTTTGAATTGTGCCGTTATTGCAGAGGACCATCGACTTATGTTAGTGTTTGGTCGAGCTACTCCTCCGATTGTGGCATGTGCCTTGATGTTGTCGCACAAAGGGGAGGGACCTACAGTTTTACGCCGACTCCTGCCGGGGCCGACCACTATTACAATACACATTTTCTTTTTTTATGTTGGGCGGAACTGGGCTCGAACCCTCACACTGCGGAATGGTAGTGCGCACTTCTAACCACTACACCACAGCGATCGCTTAATTAATTTTAATCATTAATCGCGATTAACCATTATTCGTTAATTTTTAACCATTCATAGACTAACATTTTGTCGACAATACTCGCATAGATATGTAGGCCCAAATTTTCACAAAAGAGAAAAGTGATTTTCTTCAAAACTTTGGAATGACGTCTTGACTGAACTTACTAATTCGGAATTTCTACTATTACTTATAGAGTAGGCTATTAATAAAGTCTGGGTAATGAAAAAAAAAATTATATTATATGTTCCATAAATATTAAGACTTTTATTGCTTAATTTATTTTTATCGGATGTACAGCAATTTTCTAAAAAGGTCTCTTGATAGATTAGTTCATGAAAATTATTCCAAACGAAAACTTAAAATTGATAAAAAAATCTTAACTAATTTATATTAGAAGTTTTAAGTTTATCCCACTGTAAGTGTGAAATCAGTTGCTATGTGTTTCCATGATACA